GGCGGTGAACGTGGGCGTGGTGACCCGCACCATCCCGCAATGGTGGCCGCCGCCCGATCCGATCCTCGGGTTCCGGCCGAAGCCCGACAGCGAAGTGATCGCCACCGCCACCTGGGGCGACGAGCTGGTCTATCGCCAGACCTACCATTTCGATTCCGCCGCAGCACGGGTGACGCCGCCGGCGCCGGCATCTTCCGATACCTATCTGTTCATCGGCGATTCGTTCATCTTCGGGCAGGGCGTGGCCGACGATCAGACGGTGGCGTCCCAGTTCACCAAGCTGAACGTGCCCGCCGCGCGCACCGTCAATTTCGGCGTTCCCGGCTACGGTCCCAATCACCTCGTCCGCGCCTTCGAAGCCGGTCTCTTCGACCGCTACAAGGACCAGAAGGTGAAGGCCGTCGTGACCTGGATCATCCCGGCCCATCTGCAGCGCGTGACCGGCGACGGCTCCTGGCTCGGCTCCTCGCCGCGCTATGTCCTCGACGACGGCAAGCTGCGCTTCACCGGCACGTTCAACGAGCACCGCTGGCGAGATCCGCTGGCCGGGCTCCACTATCTCCTGGGCGAGCACTTCGCGTTCATCGAGGCGATCGGCCAGAAGCAGCGCCAGGAGGAGCAGATCGAGCTGTTCCTGGCGATGATGGCGAAGCTGCAGGCGGAGGCCCGCGCGAAGTTCAACGCCCCGCTCATCATCATCTATTCCTGGCCCGACGAGAGCACGCAGAACCGCTACGGCGATTCGAAGGTCGAGCAGCCGTTGCTGGTCGCGACGCTGGTGAAGCTGCGCCAGCTCGGCGCGCCGATGCTGAGTGTCGCCGATGCAACCCAGGGTGAGACGGCGGCGCGGCTGATGATCCCGCACGACGGCCATCCCTCGGCGTTCAGCACCGAGCGAATCGCGATCGCGTTGAAGAAACTGCTCGACGCACGCTGATCGCTCGTCTCGTCGTCGGGTGCGTTGCGTTTCATTTGACAGTTCCGCCTGCAAACCCGGCAGCTTGTCGCCAACAGGATCGTCCGCACGAACGGATGACAGAGGAAGCGTCTTTGCGGGAGGATGGACAGGGTGAGCCATGTGGCGCCCATGCGCGCGCTCAACCGGCCGAAACCGACGGTCTCCGTAGAACGGCGTGCTGACGGC